GCTGCAGTCAGGTTGCAACAACTTTTTTTTTTTTTCCCGAAAAAACAGAACCTTACGGTTCTGGCTCCGTTCCATTCTGGGGAGCATCATGGACGGTTCCTGCTTTTTCTTCCCCCTCCGCGCCCCCCGCCCCCCCAAACTCAATTCTTACTAGCCTTAGCATCTTAAATGGTTATGTGATACGAAAAAAATAATAATAATAATAAAAAAATCATAATAAAACTGATGATATGGCCTTTACTCGAGCAGGTTAAAAAAACTGGTCGTTGGGGACATCCGTAAAAATAGGAACGATACAGAGAAGATTAACGTTACACCTGCGTGAGGATGACACGCCTTTATCGAGTTGGTTTAAACTTAAAATCGATCTAAATATATTCTTTTACATTCTGTTGGAATTCTTTGCTATTGTTCGTGGTCTTTCAAAAACAAAAAACAAAAAAAAAACGACAGGTTAGAATTCTTTGCTATTGTTCTTTGTCTTTCACCAAAAAAAAAAAAAAAAAAACCTCAGATGGCTGGTTGCTACTGCACCAATGCTGCACCAATGAGCCTTCAGGGGCCAAGTCCCACCATAGTTAATTCTTGGCCGTTGATCTTCCTAATCTATGGCCCGAAATTGACAATTCGGGTAAGTGCGACTTGGCCCCCCTTAATGTCTCGCTCCGCTACTCGCGATGGCCCAATTGTGAAAAGGAGTGGACGACTACTACGGTAGCTCTGCATGGCTCCACTATCGATTCTTTTTATTTATTATTATTATTATGATTATTTTTTTATTAATTCTACTGTCGAAAATATCGTCCAGCAGAAAATAGGTCAGGAGTTGTTAGTGTCAAAGAGAGGCCTTCGAGAGCCTTCAGACTGCAGCACTCTTGAAAGTAGAGAGTCCTCTCCGGACCTGAAGTAGAGTAGTTACTTTTTTTTTTTTTTTTTTTTTTCTCTTTGGGGCGTTTTGTGTTGAAAGAAAGGAAGAAAAACGGGCAGGTTAAAAAAATAGATAAAAAAAGAATTCGAGAGTGTGGCGGCCAATGGCGAGTTTGACAGCTCTAGATTCACTCTCCGTTTTTTTTGTTTTTTTTTTTTCGCTCTCCGTTTTGGAGATAAAACGAGAGCAGTCGATAAGACATGCTGTGTGGACCGCAATAGGGTTGTATTGACTTCGCTATAGCCTTTAGGGAAACTGTTGGAGCAATTTCCGGTGCTAGGGCATACTCACACTACAACGTTTTTACGTATTGTTGGACGGAAGTGAGGCCAGATACATCCAGGTATGGCCGTGAATGCGGTCAGATACATTTGAGATACTGCTAGTGTGAGTACGCCTAGTTTCTCGTAATGGTTTTCAGAAAAGCTCGTAGTGGTAGCAGAGACGGTAGGTGTAAAATGCAATTTTTTTTCATTGGAATAGTATAAATTTGTATTAAATCAATTAAAAAAAAAATGCAAAATTTTTGTAGAATTTTTTAGGCCTCCTCGTGGCAAGATAGCTGTTTGGTGCAGCGGACACCCTGGGGCGAGGTCCCACTAGCAAAGAGGATTGGATAAAAATCCTGAATCTGGACGTGTTTTCAAGCAGAGATGCAGAAAAGCAGTTCAATCGCGACATTCTGCACCTTTCCACAAACAACTCCAGATGCAGGCTTTCAGTCCAATCCTCGTTGCTAGTGGGACCTCGCCCCTGGTTGAGCCGGGCCCATGATGCCGTGCTCGATTCGATTGGGTGGCCTGCCCGCGTTTTGGAAGGGACGCTGGGCCCGTTTCCCCCGGGGCCAAGTCCCACTTCCGCTGATTCTTCATCTCTGGCCGTCGAAGATCTTCGTAATCTACGGTCAGAAATTGAGAATTGGGGAACGTGGGACTTAGGCCCCCGGGTTGTGTAACAAGAGGGGAATCAGTGTGAGACGAGAGTAGTCGAGCCAGGCCGAAAACTAGAGTAGGTCTCGAAAAAAAAAAAAAAAAAAAAAAAAAAAACTAGAGTAGGCGGTGGTAGCCAGCACAACTAGAGAGCGGTGGAGGGGT